CGTAACGTAGTACGTACGTAGTACGTACGTTAGTAGTAGTAGTAGTAGTAGTAGTGTAGTAGTGTAGTGTAGTGTGTGTGTGTGTGTGTGTGTGTGTGTGTGTGTGTGTGTGTGTGTGTGTGTGTGTGTGTGTGTGTGTGTGTGTGTGTGTGTGCGTGTGTGCGTGTGTGTGTGTGTGTGTGTGATACTCACTTGTGGCTACTGGCTAGCATGGTCTGAGTTGGTGATTGCCGTGAGGGCAGGATGTCATACTCATCGTTGAGCTGCACACCATTAGAGAAGGGCTGCACACAGAGGAGGGGGACATTTACAAAACTGAATGTCCACTGAATGTCTTGTGAATTAAAAACATATACATTTTGCTACAGACATCTTATGTTCCTCTGTGATTTTGGAGGAACGTAGTGAATAGGATTCCGCAGCTCTGCAGTAAAACTCTTAACACTTCCTGAACCATTCAAGCTGCCCACTCATGAGGAAGTGTGGGTTTAGGGATGCAACATATGTATTTACGTGCAAAACACTGGTTGTTTTTTTTGTTTTTTCAATCAGCAGTCTATATTTTCCTTTTATCATCCACATAAAATACAACAAAACTATTAAATATACTCAATAAACAACTAGTTTATATACTATGTCACGTAAAAGCAATGCTGCTGAAAAGAAGAGTTACACATCCCTGTGATTACCTTAGGGGTAATTTTTAGCTTGTGCTGGGGTGCTGGGTCACAAAGCGTCACGACCCTGTCCTGCAACCGTTTATAGCTAAATCATGGCTGATCTTGGGTATTAGATGCTACATGTCAACTTGCCAAGGTTAATAAAGTTTAGGTTTATTGATTCGGTACAAATATTTCAGCAAACTTATTTTGAATACATTAAAGTATCAAGTCACCTCAAGTCAGAATGCTCCTCAGGTCCAAATAAAGTCCTGAGTCATTGGTGTTGAAGTCCAAGTCAAGTTACAAGTGTTTAGTGATTTTGTCAAGTCGAGTCCAAAGTCATCAAATGTGTGACTCGAGTCTGACTAAAGTCCAAGTCATGTGACTCGTGTCCACACCTTTGGTCGCAGATAATACACCAACTATGGATAAGTACCTCGTACATCCCCACTTCAAAACACCCAAACTACCCTTTAAGGATCTAAGTGGTCTTTACGCCCTACCTTGGAGCCCTCTGAGGGGCCAGCCCCCTCCATTCGCTGATGGAACCTCCCAAATCCAGCAGAGGGACAACTGAGCGGTCTTCCGTTCGGGTGAGAGGGGCCATTGTGCCGGAGCTGGGGCAGGGGCTTTGATCCTATGGGACCCCGTGTCTCAGGGGGGGGCTGTGAGTCTGACAACATGCCGGTGGAAGATGACGAGGGAGAAGAACTTGGAACCCAGGAATGGCGCGACTCTGGGGGATTGGGAGGTGGACGCTCAGGGGGAGGGGGTGGAGGTGGTTCCCTCTGGGGAGGAGGTGGTGCTGGGAGGGGCTTGTCCTGTTTCCTGGACATGCCTGGTGAAGACTGGAGAGTTGAGGAGAAGTGCTGTGTTTTAATTTAATGACAGAAGACAATCCAAGACAGAGCCTCATTTGTACATCACACACCTCTCTTTGTGTTCCATTGTTTGTACTGTGTGTATTGCAGGAAGGCTAGTGAGCACACTGTGGAAGCTGATCTATATAAAACACATCTATGCAAAGATAGCCCTGTGTTCCCATTCAGTGTGGTCTCAAATCTTCATGGCATTTTAGACCTGTCAAATCAAAAGTGATCTTTGGCCTCACCCTGCTGTTAACCCTGCCTTTAAAAAGGTCTCATGTATCTACTGTATCCTTGTACTTTCTCTAACTAACTGATTCCTGTGTTTACACCTTATTTAGTGCTTTCTTAAGCCATACCTTAAAATAACCTTTGCTTTTATATAAAATTACTATCATATACACTAAGTGCAGGAAAATACAGCAGACCTATTTTTCTGAATATTTTTGAGTTGGGGAATAAAATCAGTGACCTTGGGCGAGCCGGTGGGGCTGGCCGATGGAGAGCGGATGGCGTCCTTCTGGATGAGGTCGAGTCGTGGCGGGACGGGGGGGAGGCCAAGGTGCTGCACGCAATGGGGGTCTCCCCCGTGGACCTTTCTGTGTTGGCTGAGAGGGGAAGAGCTGGGAGACACCATGGGGGAGTTCTGCCGCTCTGCACAGTGCTGACAGGAGAGAAAATAACCTCTTCAAATGCTTCAGGCCATCAAAGAGCTTTCCCTTTATACACTTTGATCAGGGACAGAGAGACAGAGACTGACCATAATGCACTATGGATCAAATACTTTAAAAGGCCCCTAAATTCAAGAGATCTTCGGATGTGTGAAAGCAAGTGGGATGAGTGTTTAGCTCACATTTCATTGCTATTAATTACAATCACATTTATCCAGAATAACATATGAAAGTGTAAAAGGTTAAAATAAAATAAAAAAGCATGGTTATTCCGCCTATATTTGGCTCTTTTAGTGTGTGTGTTGTTAATCACGTGATTGCTTGAGGGTTCCCTTTTAAAGGTCACCCTGACACTGCTCAGGAGAGCATTCGTTCTCAGAGTTTGATAGATATCGCTCAGCCGGACCATCAACAGAGCTACTAGCCGCTGAGATCACTAGTCTTTACCTTTCGGATGTTGGCCAGTCCATTCATGACCAGGCAGTCCTCTCGGTCCTCGTCCTCATCCAGCTCCAGCAGGGGGCAGCTGAGCTGGTCCAGGAAGAAGCACTTGGTGCCCTCATTTCGGGGGTCAAAGGGATCAACAATGATGGGCTCAGTGCCTTTGATCTCACAACGACAGAACGGACAGCCCTGACCATCTGATTCCTGGAACAGATAAGGGAAAGAGTTTGTATTGAACCGAATATTTTATGCAATTTAATTAGTGTGAATGCTGTGCTACCCTATTCCACTATAGTTCTTCGAATCTTTATTAGTGCGAATGCTGTTTACAGCATTCCACTAGAGTACTTTGAATCTTTATTAGTGTGAATGCTGTTTACAGCATTCCACTACAGTACTTCTAATCTTTATTAGTGCGAATGCTGTTTACAGCATTCCACTATAGTACTTCGAATCTTTAATCCCCTTATTAGTGTGAATGCTGTTTACAGCATTCCACTATAGTTCTTAAAATCTTTATTAGTGCGAATGCTGTTTACTTTCAGCCACAGAAACCATTCAAATATTAAACTATTCAGCCTTTTCAGCAATTGATGAGAAACTTTCAACTTTTTCAAAATATTTCATACTTTTTGAAATATTCAGCTTTTTAAACTCTTTTTTTAACATTGAAGTCAATGGGAGAAGCCTTCAAATCCTGTTTTCCTACACCTTGCGCCAAATGCTACAATTCCCCATATTTTCAGCTTGACACTTCACTCCAACTTTCAAATGATCACAAGACCTTCAGCTATTCAATTCTTATTCAGATTTTATATATCTTTGAAACCTTTTGAGATATTGAATTTAGTTTGGAGCTTGGTAGAGAGGCCTTTTTCAGATTTTAACATTGGAGTGGAGGGAGCAGCTCGCTAAGTCTAGAGTGCTCTGATCTCAAAACAGAGTGCAGCAGTTCCTTGAAATTCTCCCCCAAAAATATTTTAAACTTGCCATAATTCCCAAACCCTACACTCCTCAGACATATTTTTTCATGAAAAACGTAGAAAAACCTCTCATAGGTTGAAAAATAATAATAAAAATAAATAAATATTAAACAAAATGCCTCTTGAGGGCATGAAGAGAGACAAAGTCCAGCTAGCTCCCAATTGATTCCCATGTTAAATTGTTCCGGATCTTTCTTCAGAGCAGGGAGAAGTACATTTTAGATAAACTGCTCCCATCTCCACATTTTACACACAAAACCCCCCAAAAAAACATATTTCAGTTCATTGGGGTTCCCTGATACTCACGGTCTGGTAATTTCTTTATAAGAGCCATAGTTTTTGAACAGGTGGCAAAATTGTCAGATATAATCCCCAATGCATTCTTATGGGACTCAGTGCTGCAGTTGGTTGTCATGGTGTTGCTGGGCAGATTGGAGC